TACTCCCAAGATATATCACAGAAGTTAAAAACACCGATATTTTTTATTTAAACTTTATAGAAAATGAAACTTTTTGCTAAATAAAATTAAATAAAAGTAAAAACTTTTATTTAATTTAAAATTAGATATCTACGCTTTTGTTCTACTATGTACTACAATAAAGTAGTGGTATTTCTAACAGCGTTGCCATTTTACTGGTATTTTGCTTGCTTTGGTCTCTGTAAATTTTCTCACGAAATTACGTGCCGACTATACGAAAAGGAATATAATGTTGACAATTGTGTTCGTAATAATGGGCATACTGTGCTTAAAATTCCTTCTTATTATTGTACATTGAACCTTATAGAGTTAACATGGGCTAAATTAAAAGGAGAAGAAACGTTGCTCCTAAATTTTCGTCTAGTGTTCTCCAGTTAATTAAAAGAAAAGTCACAAAAATCACAGCAACCAACTAGAAAAATGTAATAAAACATGTAATTGGAGTGGAAAATGACTATGTTAAATATTTACCAGCATTAACAAAATTAACTATAAATTTAGATAATCCGAATGATACTAGTGATAATAGTGACTCTGAATAGATAGCAACTACTTTATTCGAATTAGGTGTTAGTTAAAACCTTTAGTTTTATTGTAATTGTAGATATTTATATTTTGCTTATATATCTTTGAAAACAGGGTATAAACACACTTCTTGATAGGACAAATTGGTACAAAGTTTTTAATTTAAAATAGTTAAAATACAGGTTAGTGCGGTTAGGCTATTATAAAATAACTGCGATTTCTGAAATAATGAATTTATACGTCACTTTATGGACGCACTGCATATAGTTATATTAGTTATATAGTTGCATGCACGTCACCAAGATCATAATTCTATTGTATGTGTGGCTAAATTTTTATGGAAATGTGTACGTTACTCTAGTTTGCTAAACAATCACTTCTAAAAATAACCCGATCAATAAAAAAACTTTTGTAACAAAATAATGTTCATACAATATAGCTTTTTTGGACTTAGATGTCGCTTATTGTAAAATTTTGTGGTGAAATGTTCATGAAGAAACTAAGAACCCACCAATTAATGACAGAGTAGTAGTCACTACTAGAAATATTGTCATGTTGCCGCGTCGTTTGTTGAGTTTTCAGTCAGTGTTCTACGACTTTTTTGTACTCGTGTTTTAAAAGTATAAATAAAAACATTTTTATTTATACTTTTTATAAATAAAAATGTTTATTTATTTGTCAAAACGCCCACATAGCTAAATAGTCGATGCAAGGAACTTGTGGCTTCATTAGTTAACTATTTTAAAAAAGAAAAAGATAATAATCCTTTGTTACCCTTAAACGCTGTGCAAGAGGTAAATATGCAAATAAAATATCATTACTTTACTTTACAAAAATTTGTATTATTTTAGCGTGTAGCTGCTGCTTTACAAATTAGTGTAAGAACAGTAAGCAGCATATGTCAAATGCAGAAAAAATGCGAACAGTTCGAGTCACCAAAGAAAAAGCGTCGCACTAATTAACGAATAACAAATACAACAACTTTAAATGCAAGCTCTATTCGTGATACCATTTACAATATGTACCAGAAAAATAAGTATGATTGTAACAGATATACATTTAACATAATTTTATTTCTGTATGCTTTTAGAACAACACGTCACGGTTCAATCATTGTGGTCCCAACTAAAAGATAAAGAATTATTTAATGGTAGTACCACTTCTTTAAAAAGATTGCGTAAAGAACTTGGGTTTGAGAGAATGAAGGATAATCCACGACGAGGAATTACTTAACGTTGTTTGATAAAGAGTACAATTCTTGAGAACTTATAAAGAAGCGAAGGATGAAAGTATATACCAATTCGTATTTCTCGATGAAACTGGAATATTTCAAAATGAGATCATTGGTCATTCTTATAAAAATAAAAATATATAGAGTGTTAAAACCACTAAAATTGATGGAAAATGGTTTGTTGTATTAAAATAAGTTGTTATATGAACATGCTGAAAATGAAATTGGATTTATAGAGGGTACTGAAGCAATATTTTGTTCAAAAACTCAACTTATTGATTATCATCGGGAAATTAACCAGGCAAATTTCTTGAAATGGTTTGAATATCAGTTGTTACAAAACTAAGAGAATCACTCTCCAATTATACTTGATAATGCACCTTATCACGGTAGGTTATTGCAAAAAAATCTGAATACAAGATGGTCAAAAGTTACTGTTAAGGAGTAGTTGACAGAAAAAAACATTCCCCATTCTAATGTGATGTTCAAAACAGAACTGTTAGAAGAAAATGTAAGATTATATATAATATAACAAGCGAGTCTTCTACAGCTGGCGCCACTTCTTGCATCCTAATTTCCAGCGTTCTCTGTCGAAGCTATCTTCAATTGTTAGATTTCTGGCGGTCATTGCAACGTCGACATCGTCTCTCCAGGATCGTCTTGGTCTACCTCGTTTTATTCTAGTTAGCGGAGTCCATTCTTCTATTTTTTCTGGTCATCTATTTTCGGGCATTCTCTGATGGTGTCCATACCAGTTAAGTCTTTTGGCTTCAACTATGTCTATTATGTCTAGATTGATTTTCATTTCTCTTCGAATATCTTCGTTTCTCGTCCTATCAAGTCTAGTGAGCTGGCAACATCGTCTCCAGTAGTTCATTTCCATGGCCTTAATTTTTTATTTGTTTCTTTGGTTTATTTCCCAGAGTTCGGCACCGTACAGTCCAATACTTTCTATTATTGTTTTATAAATTCATCTTTTATTTTCTTTTGTTATTTTTTTGTTCCATAATAGTCCGTGTAGCTGTCTGTTGGCTGATCTTGCTTGGCCAATCCTGGAATGTATTTCTTCGCTACTTGCTGCTTTTGATATTATTTGGACTATAAAGTATTTAAAATTGTCTGTTGGTTTTATAGTTTCTATTTCGATTTGTAGGCTTTCTGGTTTCTCTCCTACAACTAAGTACTCAGTTTTTTTATTATTAATTCTGAGGCCCCATTTGGTGTACTCATCTTCCAGTTTTCTAAGCATGTATCTTACATCACTATCGTCTTCAGCAAGAATGGCTTGGTCGCCAGCAAAGTGTATCGTGTACAATCTATCATCTCCGATTGGGATGCCCATATTACAGCACATTCTTCTCCACAGTGAGAGTGCCTCATTTGGATATATTTTAAAGAGTGTAAGTGCTATGCAGCAGCCTTGCTTTAGTCCCTTACTAATAGGAATTTTTTTAGTTAATCTATTTCCAGTTTTAATGTTTGCCGTCATATTTTTGTAGAGCTGTTGTTTTGCTTGTATTTTTTTTTTTTTTGTTTATTCCTTGTTTTTCCATTGCTACCCAAAGCATTGAACGTGGTACACTATCGTATGTCTTTGTCAGATGTACAAAGACTATATGAGTTAAAAGGTTGTGGGCTAATCGTTTCTCGATAACTTGCTTTAGAGAGAATATTCTGTCCATACAGGATCTGCCTGCACGAAAGCCATTCTGTTCTTCTACATCTGTTATCTCTGTTTCAATTTTATCCACTAATTATATGTGCTTTTGTCCACTCCGGTGGTAAGTTGTGTCCATTATAGAATAAGGTGAAGACATACGCCAGTAATTCCCGTAATACTTGTGGGCTATGTTTTAATAATTCATTTCGTATACCTTGTGGTCCGCATGACTTCCGATTTTTTAAAATTCGTATTGCATTTTCGAGTTCCTGTACTGTTATTTCATCGTCTTCACTAAATTCCAGTTCATGTGTTGTTGTACTGATGTTCGTGAATTGAGGTCTTGTTTCAGTCAGAAGTTGTGAGTAGTGTTCAATCCAAGATCTTGCTTTAATTAAATCTATTCTACTCGTTTGTTTTCTGTTTGTTTTCAGATTTTTTACCGTTTTCCATGCTTCTCTTGATCTTGTTGACCCTATTTATTTATTGAGTTGCTTCAACAACTTGCATATGTTCGTCTATCGTCTAGGTCATTTGTTTGCAATTCGATTAAGTGTTACCCATTTTCATTTGTTTTAGCGTCACCATATTTTCCTACGAGTTTGTCATTTGTTTTTTTCCTGTCCAAGCGTTAAAATCTCCCAACAGCACAATTTCTTTGCGGCTATTTATATTTTCAATGAGTTCCAATAAAGTTTCGTAGAAAATTTGTTTAGCTGCTTTTGATGCATTTTCTGACGAAGCATATATTCCAATGATCTCGAGGTCGTGCCCTTTCCACGTAATAGACACTCTAATAATTCTCGCATTAATCTGCTCCCAGCTTTTTAGGTTTTCTTTTAAGTCTTTTTTTATCAATATTGATACCCCCGCTTGTGCTCTTTTGTCTTTCTCTACTCCACTATAAATATATATAAAACCCCCTATGTCGTGGCCAAAGTGGGCATTCTGATTGTTTATTATTCTGTGGTTAAATATAAATGTACATTTAAACTTTTTAAAATCGGCGATCACAGATAATAGCCATTTTCTATTTATTACAATGACAGTTATAGTAGGTACTTTATACTTATAATTTTTCGGAAATGAAAATAACTTGAATTGGCTATTTCTTCTTGTGTTTTTTACAATACATAATATAGAAACCATTGCTTATAATAAGCAATCAATTATTCAGCGGAGTACTACGAGTATTTGTAAACAAAATTTATTTTTGTAAATTATAATTTTAATCTCGAGTAGTTGATAATTATATATTTTTTTATAATTAAAATGAAAAAAAGGTCGTAGAAAAAGTATAGTATTCTACTTGCACGTAATAGCTATTGCTCATTCTGGGGAATTACGTCAATCGCCTTCAGCGCATTTTTACTTTCATAGGTTTAAAATATTAAGTTTTTGATTTATAACCATTAACAATTGTAGCATTATTAATATTACTATTTAAGGCTTCGACGTATGTAAACTTTCTATTCACGATATTTTTATTTTTTTTTACTTAATTAATTCCAGAATTAACTAAAGACTATTAAAAATTTAACTTACCATGTTTCCATTAAACTGTTTGTTTTTAACTTTAACAAAGATAACACCCAATATTATTCCAATACAACTTGATGACGCTGTCGAAAGAGTAGATAGATAATTTATGACAAAATGTACTGAGTCGTCAAGAACAAACAATTTCATGCTCCTAAAAAACACATTTTAAAAATTTACAATAAATTTTTCAAAAGTATATAAAATATTAAAATTTTAAGGTTTATTTAGTATTGAGAGAGAAAGAGTAAAGATAATAAAAAACAGTTACGTAGCTACCCGGTAGATGAAATTGTTTAAATTTAAACAGTTTGTATACATTGATTTAAAATATTAGAGTCTAGTTTGTCTCATAGTCAACATTAAACTTTAATTCGTATTATTTATCAAACGTTTTTAAATCCTCTTTATATTATTCAAAATGGGATTCTTTCGTCAAAACATGCAACCAACTGTTATCTATAAACGTATTTGTTTGTGGTTAATACATAAAAATAGGTTTAATGCCCAAATATACACAAACCTTTCGATAATACGGTCGAAATAGATAATGGCCAGAATGGAAAAGTCAACCATCTACTATTTTGAGAAAAACTTTAAGCTGTGAAGCAACTAAAACCATCAACAGGAAGACTTAGAAAACAAATCAAAAAAGACTCAAAAAATTATCGTGAGAAGATATGTAAGTATATTTTTTTTTATTATAGTAACAACCCCAGAAATAGAAGCAGCTACAAATAATCTTATAACAGTATTGCAAAACGCTGCAAAAGAGGCAACACTCGAACGATATGGATAAAAAAAATCTTTAATAGAATAAATATTTGACAAGAAATATAAAGTTCATTGCCAATAAAGAAGAACAAGAGCCAAATGGCAACAAAGTAACACAACTAAAAATTGCAAGAAAAATAATTAGTCAGAATATTGGGAACACAACTTAATAGTGAAAATGACACTAGCAAAAATACAAAAGCTCTTATGGAAATACGACGAAACCTAAGCGAGAACGAAAAGGGAAACAACAAACAAAAAACTAAATAAAAGAATTTCAGCGGAAATTAGAAAAGATGTAAGAAGATATAATACTAATGTAATTACTCAAACAGTAGAAGAGAACAAAGGTTTAAAGATAATAAAAAGAAAACTCACACAAAGTAAAAAATAAATATACAAGCTTAGAGACAAAGACGGAAAGTCAACAACAGATAAACAAAACATTCTGAAAATAACCAAAGAGTTTTATAAAGACCTCTATACCAGTCAAAGACCACAAGACAATTTCCCGACCCGAGTAAAGACTCTCATAAATCAGGGATCGGAAATGCTTTTACCCATTACTGTGTCAGAAGTAAGAGCAGCTTACCAGGAAATGAAGAACCATCGATCGCCTGGTGATGATGGACTCGCTATCGAGGCAATAAAAGCAGGAGGAGAAATTTTATTAAAATCAGTAAGCGAACTGTTTAATAAATGCTTACATGAGGGTACGATTCCAAAAGACTGAAATAAATGCAGTAATAGTCTTGTTACACAAAAAAGGCGATATTACTAAATTCGAAAATTAGAGACCCATCAGCCTCTTGACACATATGTACAAACTCCTTATTAAAATCTTAACAAAGAGGCTAACACATAAACATGATTTCTATTAGCTCAAAGAACAGGCAGGTTTCAGGTCAGGATATGGCACAAATGACCATTTGCATACCATAAAGATCTTAATAGAAAAGTGCATCGAGTACAACATACCACTGGTTCTTGCATTTGTCGATTACGAGAAGGCTTTTAAATCTGTAGAGTTTAAAACAGTACTCGAAGCCCTAAATCAAAGCCGAATAGATTACAGGTACACGACACTAATCAAAAACATCTACGAGAACGCTACATCACTTATACGACTACACGAAGACGCAGAAAAATTCAGCTTAGGTCGAGGAGTTAGACAAGGAGATAATATTTCACCAAAGTTGTTCACGGCAGCTCTAGAAACAATATGTAAGATCACTTAATGGCAAGATATGGGCATTAATATAGATGGAGAAAAATTAAATCACCTAAGGTTTGCAGATGATGTTGTATTAATTGCAGATAACTTACATGATACAGTTTCTATGATGCATTCGCTTAAAAGTCTGTCTGAAAGAGCAGGATTAAAGATAAGCTTTGATAAAACTAAGCTTATAGTAAATCTCGTAATGAGTGGAAATATAACTATTGACAGTAATACCATACAACAAACAGACACTTACAAATATCTAGGGCACGAAATCAAAATAAACAGAGACAGTCAAACACATGAAATACAGAGGCGAATAGGCCTAACGTGGGCAGCAATATTACAAATTAAGCCATATTCTTAAAGTTCAATTCCCATGTGTCTCAAGCGAAAGGTTTATAACCAATGTGTTTTGCATGTACAATCTTATAGAGCAAAGACTTTAACACTCCCGCAAAAATCTGCGAATAAACTCAGAGTTACACAACGAGCCATGGAACGTGCAATGCTGAACGTGAGCCTTCTAGACCACATAACAAAACAAACAAATTAGGCAAATATCAGGAGTTCAAGACCTCATCGAAAGAACAACGACGTCTAAGTGGAACTGGGCAGAGTACTTAGCCAGAACACAAGATGGACGGTGGACAAGACGTATTATGGAACGGAGGCCCAGAAACTATAAAAGAAGCCAAGGACGACCACCGACTAGATGGACCGATGATATAAAACGTGTAGCGCTAAACTGGCTACAAACGGCCCAGTGTAGATAACACTGAAAAAAACTGAGGGAGGTCTATGTCTAGCAGTGGACGCGATTTGCTGATTGATGATGATGATGATAAGATTACAATGGCATAATGGGCGGTTGCAAATATCGTCGGACACAGAATGGGCGGCTGAAACAAACACTCACCAACACTTCTAGCCAGCGTGGTGTTTAAACGCTTAATACCCCTCAAGACAATGCCAGTTGAAAATACGCAAATACCCCAGGCAAGTACAGAATCTTGTACTGATAAATTATCAGTCTGTCCCATGGACGAATAACGAATATATAGGAATGTAAAATGTACATTCCCTACTAGCCGATGAAAGACTTACTGAACTTGAGTGCGAACTAGAAAACATAAAGTGGGACAAAGTCTCAGCGAAGTTAGAAGAAGTGGTGAACACTTAATTAAACTAAAATCAGGACATAGCTTTTTCCACGTAGGTTACGACAATAATTCCTTGGAAGAAACCGGCTTCATTATACACAGGCGTCTCCAAACTAGTATAGTACCACTGAAGAAATTTTCCACAGGGGTGATTTGTCTTACTCTTAAATTGAATACAAGGAATAATACAATTTTAATACAGGTTTATGCACCAACAACAGACCATATTGAAGAAGAAGTGAATCTATTCTATAATGATATCAAAGTTGCCCTTAAAGAGCATCAAGGATATTTTACTTTTATATGCGGTGATTTTAACACCAAAACAGAAATTAAATCTAACCTTACACAAACACCACTGAAAAACTTTGCTTGGATGGAAGAAACGAACGTGGCGAAATACTGTTAAGATTCATGCTGCTACATGAACTATTCGAAATTAACAGTTTTTTCAAACAGAAACCACAGAGGAGATGGACATGAGAGTCCTAATGGAAAAACTCAAAACGAAATAGATTTTATTATCACGGACAAAAAACACACCGTTAAAGACATTACGGTTCTAAACAGATTTGTTACCAGCAGCGATCATAGAATAGTACGAGGTAAAATAGAAATAAGCTTAAAGAGGGGGACGTATAAGATGATTCAAAGAAGAACAAATCAAAACCATGGATGAAACATCAAATGTAGATAGTTTTCAGTAATGTATTTCCGACATACTTAGTAGTCCTGATAGCGGAAGTAGGCTCGGAATAACTTTACAGGAACTGGGCATTCTTGTTAGCTTTGATGTTGTTTCCCTATTTACAAGAGTTTTGAGTTTCCCTAGAAGACGTTTTAAATTTAATTAAGGGACTAGTCTCCAAGGATATGGTAGAATTATACCGTAATTGCTTCACTACCACCTACTTTTCATGGAAAGACCAGATTTATGAAGAGGTAGATGAAGTAGCAATGGGAAGCCCACTAAGCCCGGTCGTAGCCAATATTTTCATAGAGCATCTAGTGAAGAGGATAATAAAGTTAGCATACACGCTAGGGTTATGATTTAGGTACGTCGCTGACATTTTTGTGATTTGGGGTCAGGAAGTAAACAAACTTAACAATTTCCTGTTCTGTTTCCATTTAAATTCAAAATTCTATTCCATTCACACTACATCCAAATATCTAACTTACGATGGAAACAGAGGAATATCAACAACTAGCGTTCTTAGATGTATTAGTAAATCGAAAAAAAGGTTATTTATAAAAAAAAGTTTATCGAAAACCTACACACACAGTATCATCAAAACTTTGGCAAAAAGGGCGAAGATAATTTGTGAATCACAGCATCTGCAAAGTGACTTTCTTCATATTGAAGAAGAAATACATAAAGCCATTAACAACGTTTCTAGAAGAAAGGACGAAGAAACAGCATGTATAGGCAAAGCGTTTTTGTCGTTTATATCGGGGATAACAGACAGAATTAAGCGAATACTTAAAAAAACCAATGAAGATACCATTTTTAAGCCTAAAAAGAAAATCAAGGACTGTTTAAGGTCGGTGAAGGACAAACGCGACCCACTAGTAACGGCCGGAGTATACCGAATACCATATACATGTGAAATAGTATACGTGGGAACCACGAAAAAACACACAAACACAAGGATACAAACATAAAAGCCATTGTCGGTTAGGGCATATAGACAAATTTGCCGTTGCCGAACACGCCTTGAAAAGCGGAAAACATCGGATACTCTTGGAAGAAATGCAGATTCTGGATAAAACATCCCAGTACTACGTTTATACTGGGAAGCCAGTATATTATTATTCCCAATATAACCCACGGTTATATTGGGAAGCGATCGAAATATATAAGTATCTAAATAATTTTAATCGGATAGAAGGACTTAAAATTAACATGGATACCAACATTAAAATCCACAAACACCCTTCTCACAAAACAAGAAAAAAGAAACACTGCGAACGACGACACGCTCAGGCCGAAACCAG